TTTATTTTCAATTTTTTAAAAACTATGTGTTTTTTAAATTAAGCTTTCTCTCTAATCTGTTTGTACTGGTAACACTTGAAATTTCTGAGTGACTTTTAAAAAAATCATGCTAAAGGCTATGGAAACATAGGCAAATAAACCTTTTACATTATTTTAGGACAAACATAAATATTCTAATGTGTGTCTTTTTCTCTGATTCTTGTTTGCTTTTAATTCATTGTAGTTTTGGTTTGCTTCTGGAGAAAACCAATTCCCCTAATAAATTCTCAAGTAACATTCAAGAAAAGTATTATTTGGTGGGTGGATCTTCCTTTCTTCCATAAATTATTATAGTATTATTTCCTTTATAAATCAGTGCATACTACAGGCTTTCCTCTAGAAATTATACACCCTACAATAGTTTAAACTGATAAGGATTTATGTTTAACCTCTTTCCAACCTCTTTCCACCTTAACTTACAGAGGAATAACATAATTGATTTCATCTCCAGTAAGGTTCCAATTCATCAAGTGACACTAATTCCTTAGGTTAAGAGTTAGTGCGCACTCCAGACGCTGATGCTGATGGAGGAAAAAAACGGATCCTAAGGGAAAAGCCATGCCTCTACCATGGCTCTGCCAAAAGCACAGGAGAGAGAAGTAATTTTCTGCACATAGCCTCTCCATCCTAACTCCAAATAATGCAAAGAATCTGCCCCTAAATAAAAGCAAGCCATTTCCTATGCATGCAGACTTGATAGTTCAGCTTTGACCAGGCAACTTGATGCCCTGAGAAGCAGCCACCCCACCATCCACAGAGCTGATGCATGATTACTTATCTCAGTTTTCTGATCAACGATGATTACTGGTCCTTCAGGATATGATTCAGGAGTTACATTCTCAAAGCAACGTCCTGATATCCACATCCCCTTCTCCGGGTGAACAGAAATGGTCAACACTTGGCAAGAAGAAACAAGAACTTTCTTTGTAGAAAGAAAAGAAAATACGTGCTTTCTTTGTAGAAAGAAAATACACACTCCTCTGTCTTTGATGAGTGGCTGAAAAGGCCTTTAAGTTTAGTGGTGATGTAAAGGACAGGTAAATAATTTGTCTAAGTAAACTTAATACCAGAACTCATCATCTTTTACAGTAAACTGGATAAGAAAGCCAAATGCTCATGGATAAAGATGCCAGCTATTCACACACAGTGTGACTTTAGAGTTCTGAAACACAATTTAATCCAGAGTGCTTAGCCAAGGTGCCACTGTGGTATCTGAAATTCATATCATCGGACAGAACGCTACACTGGATTAAGGAAGTATATCTTTAAGTGTGCCATCCTTGAAGCATTAATAGGTGTCACACTAAGAAAAAAAAACAGATGGACAGATAATGTCATTACTGTGGGGCAAATCTCAGGTTTAAACAAACAGCAGTCTTTACTGTAGAACTTACCTGTGCTTGGAAAAATTACAAAGTGCATGCATCTCCAAAATGGATGTACATAGGAAGTATTTTCCAAACTTGACTGGCCATGGGACACTATTTTTTCACAATGTATCTTATTAGATTGATTTTTCTCAAATTAGAAAATGCTTTTCCAGAAGATCCCCTAATAGTATGCAAATACCCTAATTAGACAGATAGTTCACAAACCCATTATCATTCATGAATAGGTGAGCGTGGACTTTTGTTTCCATCAAAATAACTGGCTTCAGAGAACAGAAACTTGCGGCAACAAGGGGTTTCTAGGTTGCTGTGACTGAAAGAGAATGGATGATAGCCAGAGGGGGCTGGTGGTGGTGTGGAATGCTGAAGGGAGGCCCAGGTACAGCAGAGAAGAGTTCCTACAAGCCCCAGTGTGAGGAGAAAGTGCATTATGGGAGGGTCCGGAGGGCACGACTGACAATCCCAAACAGACTAAAATGGAAGAGACCAGGGAGAATGGTGGGAGACATTAAAGACAATCTTGTTCATGGAAATCTTCTGCCTAAGGCTACCCTTACAAATGGGAAAAAAAACAACACTATTTCTTGTTTCCAAAGGCAGCCAGTCATTATAGTCATCCCTGCTTCTAAGTCCTGCAAAGGTAATCCTGAGGCAAATATAAATTAGTAAAATTACAGTGTGTAAAATGGTGGAGATCTTCAGGAATGAAAAGTGCATGCACAACATTCAATACACTGTGATTCTCCAGTGCTCTGAGGTGTAAGACCAATCACCTTTGAACTTCTCCCTTCTTCTCAGGGAAAATGGGAAAAGTCACCTCCTAGGGAATTAAAAAATAGTTTTCCATGGGATAATAATGTCTATTGTAAAGTGAAGTTTTACTCAAGACTCTGAATTAACATGTAAACACCACTTTAATTTTAAAATCAAAGTTCTCAAACATTTTAAAGGATAAGGGATTCACTTGAACTTAAAAGCAGCTTTTTGTACATCACCTCTCATTATAACTGAACATAGCTCGAAAGAAAGTGGTGACAGAGGTTTTATTTTAGGAGATGAACATCGGCACGTCGGCACCATGAAGACTTGATATGTGTGTGGCCTGTAGCTTTGAACTTCATCCTTTTCTGACTGAAGGGAAAATGTGTCTTGCCGTAGCAAGGCACATTCTCTTCTTTCCACTTAAAGTCATGTTTTGTACCTTAATACTCACATTCAATGAAATATTTTAATGGGAAGTTTGTACTCTATGTCAAAAGGCTCAATCTGCCTGTTATATGATGTGCTAAGATAATTGTACCTTATCAACTGTTAGTGTGACAGCCTGCAACTTTTCAAAAATTTACTGCAGCTCTTGGTATCTAGGTTTGGGTTAATAGTGCAGGCTGACATAACTATTCTCCATTTACACTTACACCGTGTTCTCTGGATGCTGACAGAAATATTTCTTATGCTGGTAAGCCAGACTGCCTGTTATCTGAAAGAGGAAAGGAGGCAAGCAAAAAAGTTAAGGAAATAAACATTCCCACTACTTCACCCAAGGTAGAAGGAAAGCAGTAATGCCTTCTCTGAGGGGTCTAAGTGATATCTTATTCCTACATGATTTATTTCAAAATACTGAGGTTACCTGATGTTTAAAAAAGTTTTTTTCTATTACTATAGTGAACGATGTGACTGAGAGTAGCTTATCCTTTTAATTCAGTCCCTGATTAATCTCAAATCTTGTCTTTTCCACCTTTTTTCCTCTTTACCTTTCTGTCTATTCCCCACCTATTAGGAAGTCATCTTTAAATAAGGCTGGTTTAGGCTCATGAATCTGAGCAGAGCCACAGGAATCGCTCTGGGTAAGTGCACCTGCAAGGTCAGGTATGAACAGTGAAGAGCCAGACTAGGTCTTCCTGCATTTCATAAGCAAGAAGCAGTTCCCGAACACAGCAGAGGGTCCTCTATCCAATCTGCCAATCAGGCAGAGGGATTTTACAGCACATTCTTAACACCACATGACTGCTTTTAAACAAAGCACAACAAAACAATTGTATTAGAGCACACATTTATTAACCCTGAGCATCTCCATTCCGAAAGCTCCTCATGGGCACGTCTTTCCAGGGCACACAACCAAAGGCACAGAGAAATGTACCAAAAATTGCTGTAAAATAAGACACAACCAACATTAACTTTCAGACCACAGGCACCAAAATATGGTTCCAGTCAAACTAAGGAAACAAGTTATTTCACATCATTGCTCCTTGTTTTAGAGCAAAAAACAAAGCCAGCAATTGTGTGCATTCTTGCCCATTCCCATTCTCTCCCTTACAAAGTCACATGCTTTCTTATCTCAAGTAATCTTTGGGTCTGGGTCTCTGGCTACCAGATTTCTCTCTGTTGAATGACCTGGAGCCAGGGCGTTTAGTCCAGGGAGCCCAAGCAGTACTAGGAGGGAGCACCTAGTCATTAACTAAGGTCCAAGGTGACCTGTCTTCCCCAGGACCCCTTCAAGCCCAGACTCCCCAGATATGCCCCATCCCAATTCTAGCAAGGAGGCCAGGGAGGTCACAACTGCTCCTGCCAACCTGTTATCCTCTCTGCCAAACTTGCTCACTCCACACTGCACCCAGAAAAGGGGAGTCTATGTGAGAAGTACCATACAGTGTTTCACCGGGAAAAGCTGGGGATCTCTGATTTAAGAAGAGTAAATTGGAGGTCTTCATCCTCATTCAAAATCTGTCAAATACAAAAGTCTTTCTTGCAATATATATTTTGTGAGTTTGTTAAGCCTCTGTACAGTCATGCTCTGAACATCATAGAATCTGGAGTATTAATGCTAAAATAGTCTTGTCAATATGTAACAATCGTAGACATTATTCCTTGAGGAATTATAATCCCAGGAAGGCTGGGACCTACTTTTATTAATCTGTTATGGAGTTTATCTAGTATACTATGTGTTTAATTCTGTTGCTGAAGGACCCTTCATAAGTGGCTTCTGCCTCATTTTCTCTATGAGAAGTACCATCATTAGCTAATTTGAAAGATGAGTTAAATTTGGCCAAAAATGTGTTAAGAAATACCACATTTGCTGTCACTCTGCAACTCTGATTTATATAGATAACTCTCTCCCTACTCCTTGGCATCCTACATCAATGAGATGCCTGAAATACTAGGCATCTGAGAACAGCAAGGGAATAATGAACATAAAGTTCAGGAGAGTGGCTGCCTCTGGCAGGGCGGTAGAGGGAAGCAGATGATGACAGCAGAGGAGAGCATGCAAGGGGCATCTATGTATTGGTAACATAGGGTGATGGGTTCACTTTGTTCATTTTGTTACTAGGCTTTAGAGCTTCCATAATATCTATTAAATATATTTCTCTGTATCAGTTGAAAATACCATTTGCCTAATATTCAAATAAGACTGTCTATTAAAGCTTCCACACATTTATGCCCGTTACATTAAAAAAGGTAGTTCTTTATTAAAATGACCACACCATCCTCACTTCCTATTACCATCTAAACATCAGAATAATGAAGTACTCTATTTTAATGAACCTTAAGAAAAAGAATGCCAAAGCCTAAGACAGAAGTTTTTCTATTACATCTGTTACTATTAACACATATTCTAACCCTAATCTCACACATATGCCATGATTGTGGAGTTCTCTCTTACTCACTGCTTCTGTAAAGTTGAAACCTTTCTCTGGGACTTCAGATTCTCTGAGTTAAAAGCCCTTTTGAGTTTGCTTATTTCCCAGCAGTCAATGATTTTTAAAAACCCCAGGGAATGTCCTTTGTCTCCTTTTAAGAGGAGAATGTTGGAGACTAGATTGCTTTTAAGAACTTCTGCCTCTAAAAATCTGTGATTCCGGAACAATCCAGGGAAGTGTTAGCTTGCCTTTCCAGCTTCCCCATTCTCAGAGTATTCAGTTCCTTCTCCATGTAAATGAAGAAAAAGAATTACTTTGCTCCCTGACTTACCAATTGTGTACTCTCCTATGTGAATCACCAGTGAACCACCCACCCCCATATTCTCCCACCTTCCCAAAGCTGCCCCCTACACACACACACACACACACAGTATATATGGAAACTGGCCTCACAGAGCCTCCAGTTTAGGCCTAATCTTGATTCTTCAGATCTTGTGCCAATACTCATTCTCTTGTCTAGAAAATAACAGCTGGTATTTATTGATCCCTTTTTTACATATTGTGCTATGAACCTTGCTTGGGTAGTTAGTCCTTTGCATCTGGGTTTTGGAGTTAGCTAGTCCTAGATTTGTATCATCTGTTACATATCCCTTTATTAGCTATGAGACCTTGAGCAAAAAGACTTCACATCTCTGAGTCTCAATTTCCACATCTATAAAATGGGGAGTATAACCCTTAATTATAACCATGATTTTCATATACCCTTGTATATTGTATAAAATCTAAAAATGTTTACAACAGGCTACTAGAATAGAGACTGGCACAAACTGTCAATAAATGATAGTTATTTTTTGTTGTATTATTGTTGTAGCTTTATTGTCAGTGCCACTGGCCAATACTCCTAAATCCTAGTTCCTAGGTTCCTAGGTTCCTCTGACACTTGAATTTCCTGCCCCCATTCTGGGTATAAAATGCCTTCTCCTGACCTTTTGTATCCTGGGCTTCTGTCTGATGCTCCTCATGTGGGTGGTCTCTTAAAAACTGCACCCAGTGGCTCACCTACCCTCTTATCTAAAAACACACTATTTACTTCATTCTACTTGTTGTTTCTTACTTCTCTATGCTTAAACCCTGACTACCTCTCCTGTTTAAGAAACCTTCCAGCATTGTTCTGAAGACTCGAGATAATTTTCTTTCATACAGTACATCACATAACCCATGTACTGAAGGGACAGGGTCCTTGCCATTCTGCACATGTAAACTCCATCTTTGGCCCCAAGGCCATTTCTTCAGTTCTCACCATCTCCCAGCAAGACAGGGCACTTATCAAATCTGCTAAGTCACATGGCCACTCCTAGCTGCAAGGGAGGCTGCCAAGTGCACTCTTTAATGGGGTGGCAGTGAACCCTGATAACTTACGAGTGTGCAAGGAAAGGAGAAAAGTTCTTCAGGGCAACCATCAAGTTGCCAGAGGGAAGTAAGAGTATTTACATTTTTTATAAGGACACATGGCTTGGGGAAATTAAGTGGTCCCACAGCAAGAAAGCAGAGGACGAGGACCTGAAGTCAGGCCTATTTGACTCTGTAGGGACCAGCCATTGATGCCCAGCTCCCCATGTTCACTGAGAGTGTACCTGCCTTCAGCACACTCTGTCAGGTTATTTGTTCCAACAGAAGGCCCTGCTTCTCCCCCTTACCCCCGCTAGAAGAGGGGAGTAAACTCTCCTTTTCAGTTACTTTAGCTACAACATGATTTTCATATACCCTTGTATATTGTTACTTCTCTTAACAAAATTTACTAAGTACATGACAAAAGAGTTCTTTTGAGACTAAAGTTTCAAAGGCTATGCTCCTTTCACAGGACATTTAAAACCAGTATTTAAACAAAGGTTCTAAATAGTAATGTAAACTAATTCCATGGCAAAAAACCCACAAACATGTAATTTAAAAAGATCCCAAAATGCAAACAGGGAAATAATCATATTATTTAAAGAAAAAAAAGTCAAGTTATTTGAATTATAAATTCAAGTCAACCTGTTGGTGTTTGCTTCAAGTACATATTGTTTTGTTTTACAACAGTGGGAAAACTGCTCCTTGGTATTCTTCACAGACACATGTCTGGACCTAGAGTCTGTGAATAGCTTCCCTGCTGTGAACTTTTTTGGGTTTAATTTCATTCTGTTTAACTTAGCTCTTAACATTGTATTTACTACAGATCAAAAATCTGTATGCTAATAGATGGCTCTAAAACGTAAATAATTCTTCCAAGGATTTGGAAGCCATCATGGGAAACATTTAATATTAGTTATTAATAGCTGGCTAAAGAAGGGTGGTTTTCAACTTGCAAACAAAGCCACTCAATTCTCTTACCAGGACAAATATAATATTCATCAGGGTTGGCTATCTGCTGTAACAAATAACCCCCACATTTTAGTGGCTTATTTTCACTCACATTGTCAAATAGTTATGGTTGGTAGGAGTGCTCTGCTCCACGTGGCCATTCAGATACAGCCTCTTCTCCCCTGTAGCTCCATTCTCCAGGTTCTAGGAAATCTCTCCATCCTGTGTGTGGATGGTGAAAAAATGGAGGACGGTGAGTGGGTGGGAAGTTTTTTGATTGGCTGGGTCTGGAAGACACATGTCACTTCTCCCTCATCCCATTGGCTGCCACTCAGTGTAGTGAAAGGGAGTGCAGGAAATACAGTGGGGCTATGTGCCCAGGAGGAGGAGGAAATGGGTTTAGTTAGCAGCTAGCTCCCAAATACAATTTTTTTGGATTACTATTGTTATTTTTTGTTGGTATCATTAATATACAATTACATGAAGAACATTATGTTTACTAGACTCCCCCCATCACCAAGTCCCCCCCCCACAAACCCCATTACAGTCACTGTCCATCAGTGTAGTAAGATGCTGTAAAA